CAATGCAGCTCTGCTCTGTGTCAGTGATAACCGCTCATCGCGGGAAAACGGCCGGTAAAAACCGGCCGTGACCCGGCAGCTGACACCCGCTGCGGACACTCGCGGGACAGGCAGGGCGGGCGCGCGCCTCACGTGCGCGCCCCCTACCTGTTTTACGGTGGTCCTTTTTAAAACGTTGTTTTGCCTACGAGCGCCGCCCTGCCGCCGTTTATAGGCGGTGGCTGGGCGGCATGTGGTTAAATCTTTTTTAACCAGTTGCCTACCGGGCACTTACTGCTCAGCCCAATTTTCAGCTTTCAGTGTTATCGCACTTTGATAATTGCGCAGTCATGCAACACTGTACCCATATGAAATTTTTATCATTTTTTTGAGACAGAGCTTTCTTTTGGTACTATTTAATCACCTCTGGGGCTTTTTATTTTTTGGTAAACAAGCCAAAAACAACTGACATTTTTGAAAATAAAGTTTTTTCTTAGTTTTTGTTATAAAATTTTGTAAATAAGTGATATTTTTCTCCTTCACTGATGTGCGCTAATGAGGCTTCAGTGATGGGCAATGATAGGCTGCACTGGTAGGTGGCACTGATGGGCATTGAAAGACAGCACTCATATGTGGCAGTGACTGGCGGCACTGATAGGTGGCAGTGAAGGGCAGCTCAGATGGCCACTGATATGTGGCATTGATATGCACTGGTAGGCACTGATATGTGGTACTGATGGGCACTGGCAGGTGGCATTGATGGACACTGACAGGTGGCACTGCTGGGGCTACACTGATCTTCAGGGCACACTAATAATCAGTGCCCTAATGATCAGTGTACATGTCCCAATTACCGGCTCTCCTCTCCTCACGAGCTGTCAGCGTGACAGCTCGTGAGGAGAGAAATGCCGATAACCGGCATTTCCTATTTTACATGCGATCAGCTGTGATTGGACACAGCTGATCACATGACCGAGCCGACGTCTTTGGCTGTTTCCGTTGATCGGTGATCCGCTGTGGCTGAGGGATCACCCAGGAGCTGCGCACGCGCTGTTAGAGTGGGAGGGCGTCATATGACCTCCCAGAAAGAGAGAACCGCCTTGCGCCCTTCATTTCCTTATATGGCGTGCAGGAGGCGGTTAAGTAATGTCTGGGGCATTTGAAAACAAAAAGGGCTTTATGGCAACGTTTTTATTATTTTTGACATTACGCTGTTTATCTCCTCCTCCCTTCCCTGCCTGTCTCCAGCACCGCACCCGGGGACTAGCAGGGAGGAGAGAGACCTTGCAGTGTAATGAGCACCCATTGGGTGCTTGTCAGGAAAGGGGAGTGTCGGGCTTATCCTTTATCCTTTCCGCTGGTTTTTTGCACACGGTTAAAAAAAATCATTTAAGGCCAGAAGATTACACCAAACTCCAAAACATGATTTATTCTCTAGGGTCTCTGATTTCAGAAAATATAATAGCAGTAGTTCCAAATTTTTATGTCAAGTGATATCAGTAAAAAATACACTTGTTAATTTTAGGGCACAAAAAGCAATAAATTATCCAATTTTTTTGTAAAATATAAAAGACAAGGTTGCATAGAGTATATAGATTATCCAACATGTCAAACCTTAAATTTGCATGCGCTCGTAAAATGGCAACAAACTTTAGTAACCCTATATTTTCTATAGATGATGCTTTTAAAGCCCCTTATAGGTCATCAGTTTAGCATTACGGAGGAGGTCTGGTGCTAGAATTATTGCTCTCATTCTGGTGTGCGTGGCAATACAGAACGTATATTGCAATCAACGTTTTCATGCGTAGGCGCCCCAGCACGTGCTTTTTTACGTTTGTGCTTACATATGTGGGGGGGAGTTTATGCTTGCGTGTAACTTATTTTCTTTAAAAAAAAAAAAAAAAGATATAGGTATTGTATGTATGTGTCAAGTTACACAATTTTTAGTTTTAGTTATGCATATATATTGTATTTATTTTATTTAGGATACATACATACATACATGCTTTTCTGTGTTACCTTTTTGCTTTTAATATTTTTTTTTTTTTTTAAGGCTACTTTCACACTGAGGATTTTTTGAAGCGTTTTTGAGCCTGAAAAGCTCAAGAAAAACCCTTCCCTGTGTATGTGAATGTAATTCTATGTAAGTTTTCACACTGAGGTGTTGCAGTGTAAAAACTCCTGCTTGCAACATCTTTGAGGCATGTTTGGGGAGTACAAAAAAAAAAGCCCCAAAAAACACCTCTTCCCATTGAAATCAATGGAAAGCGCCTGAAAAAACGCCTCTGAGAAGCATTTTTGGTGCAGTATTTAAGTCCCGTGTCCTTTTTAGAAAGCGCAGCTGTGTTTTTTTTTTTTTTTTTTTTTTTTTTTTTTTTTTTTGTGGCAGATCAGTGTGAAAGTAGTCTTACTTAACTTTTTTTTTTCTTATCACATAGGGGACAAAAAGGACACTAGGCCGAAAAAAATTCGGCACCTCCTATGGGCAGTCCTCTTTGTGGGCATAAAACCCCCTTCATGCTATAGGCTATCAGTCCTTTCTGCCTTGTGTCTCAGGAGTATGGATGTGACCTTTTTGCTGGTACTTGTGGTCCCATAGCGGTTTTATTTATTTTCCTACTTTTTATCTTTCCTTGGAACGTTCTTTTTCCTGCAGAGATCTTCTATCAACAGTCGGGCTGGATAATCTAGATCCAGTGGGCACCTCAGTCTGACCAGCGAGTGCATGCAGACTGCTAGCTCAGCGCTCGGGCCAGCTGTGACTGTGCCCCATGGACCAGGGTGGCCAGCAAGTTAAATGTCTCGTGGGGGCATATATGACCAGGCACCTATAGTCTGTGTCGGTGTAATCCCTGGCCGACAGCCCCCCCACTTCAGTGGAGAGGTGGATCTGTCACGAGAGCCTTATCCGCATGCTCCTGCTGGATTGGATTTAGAAGTAGATGCCCCCTCCCTTCCCTCCCCGGAAGCAGTGTTGGAGCATGGCCACTTCTTGGGGTGGCTGGTCCCTATGGGGTCCCCCCCCTTGTCCCCCTTTCTAGTGGAGGCACCGGGTGTCTCATCGGGTTATACTTTTAGAAACTACTGAATCCAATGCTTTTTAATTAAAGAGTAAGTCTAGTAAAATTTTTTTTTTAATAGTGTGAAAGGATTAGAACCTCTGTCAAAAACTTTACTGCTATCTGAGACTGTTAGAGAAATTTTTTTTCACTTACTGTCATGGTGACAACAAATCCTCACATAGCAGTAAAACTTGACAGTTTCTCCCTTCTTCCTCATTCCATCCAAGAGCTAAAAAAAATGGTTGGACATATACTAACTCCACAGTCTAGCCCACTATTTATCAATGTTTTTTTCAGTCACGGCCCCCTGTAAAATTAAGCACAATATTCTAAGATATCAAAAATTAAATTATTACTATAGTTTTCCATGTCATGGCGGCATCCACACACGTGGGCCAGCCAACCTTAGAGGTGATTTATTCCTCTATCTTTACAAACTGGTACTATTCTAGCTTTTCTCTTTTCCCTCACTTTTACATAGTTAGTCTGGGTGAAAAAAGACAAAAGTCCATCCAGTTCAACCATTAAAAAAAAAAAATAGTTCTATAATCCTATACCCACAGTTGATCCAGAGGAAGGCAAAAAAACCCCAGCAAAGCATGATCCAATTTGCTCCTGCTGGGGAAAAAAATTCCTTCCTGATCCCCCAAGAGGCAATCGGATATTCCCTGGGTCAACTCTACCTATAAATGTTAGTATCCAGTTATATTCTGTGTATCTAGGAAAGAATCCAGGCTTTTTTTTTTTTTGAAGCAATCCACTGAGCTGGCCAGAACCAACTCTTGAGGGAGTCTGTTCCACATTTTCACAGCTCTCACTGTGAAGAAACATTTCTGTGTTTTGGAGATTACATTTCTTTTCCTCCAGACGTAAAGCGTGCCCCCTTGTCCTCTGTGATGACCTCCAGGGTGAATAGCTCTACACCGGTTCACTATATGAACCACTGATGTATTTATACATGTTGATCATATCCCCCCTTAATCTCCTCTTCTCAAGAGAAGAATACATTCAGTTCCTCTAATCTTTCCTCATAGCTGAGCTCCTCCATACCTCTTATCAGTTTAGTTGCCCTTCTCTGCACTTTCTCCAGTTCCCCAATGTTCTTTTTGTGAATTGGTGCCCAAAACTGAACTGCGTATTCCAGATGAGGTCTTACTAATGATTTGTACCGGGGTAATATGATATCTCTCTCTCTCTGGAGTCTATACCTCTTTTAATGCAAGAGAGGATTTTGCTCGCATTAGAAACCGCAGCTTGGCATTGCATGCCATTATTTAGCTTGTGATCTACCAGAACTCCCAGATACTTCTCCACTATTGATTCCAAGTTGTACCCCCCCCCCCCCCCAGTATGTATGATGCATGCATATTGTTAGCCCCCTAGTGCAGAACTTTACATTTACCAACATTAAACCTCATTTGCCACATAGTTGCCCAATTGAGCAGTGCTTTGAGCTCGGCCTTTAAGTTGGAGACATCCTGTAAGGAAGTTATTTTACTGCACAGCTTGGTGTCATCTGCAAAGACTGAAATGGGATTTTTAATCCTCCAGCCCCTATATTGTTTATAAATATATTAAAAAGTAAGGGTCCCAACACTGAACCTTGGGTTACACTACTAGCATTCCTGGGCCATTCATCGTATCAATCATTAACTACTACTCTCTGAATACGATCTTTTAGCCAGTTTTCTATCCATTTACATACAGATTTTTCCAAGCCCTTAGACTTTACCTTACACATTAGCTGTGTGTGTGGGGAACTGTGTCAAATGCTTTTGCAAAATCCAAGTACCGTATTTTTCGCCATATAAGACGCACCTGACCATAAGACGCACCTAGGTTTTAGAGGCAGAAAACAGGGAAAAAAAATTTCTGAACTAATGGACTGCAGACACAGTACAGGAGATGACCAGAGACTGCGGACAGCACAGGGATGACCAGAGACTGCGGACAGTACAGATGACTGCTGACCTTTGGGGAGGTGGGGAGCGGGTACCTGAATTTGACAGGTACCCGCTCTTACTTCTGCAGAGTTTTTGTTTGATCTTACCTGTTCCTCGATCCAGCCGCGCGCTGTCTTCCCGGCTTCTGTAATGGCGCTCGGCATGACAGCCGGGTGCCCAGTGCGCATGAGCGAGAAGCACTTGCGCTTTGTGATTGGTCCGGCGGCTTCTGGGATCTGTCATGTGTCCCAGGTACCGCCTTACCATTCACAAAAAGCACCGCTTCTTGCGCATGTGCACTTGGCATCTGGCTGTCATGCCCAGTGCCCACACTACAGAAGCCGGGAAGACAGCACGCCGCTGGATAGAGGAACAGGTAAGGTCCCGCTGCAGAGCTGAGCGGCCGGCCCGGTATTCTGACACGGCCACGGTGGAAATACCGGACCGGCCACTCCATATTCGCCTTATAAGACGCACTGACATTTCCCCCGCAGTTTTGGGGAAGAAAAAGTGCATCTTATACGGCGAAAAATACGGTATACCGCATCCACCGCCACCCCACTGTCCAAGGTTTTGCTCATCTGCAAGATGTCTTGATAAACTCTGGAATTCATTTTCCCATCAATGACAACAATCCGTCCAGGCCCTGAGGCAGCAAAGCAGCCCCAAACCACGATGCTCCCTCCGCCATGTTTTACAGTGGGGATGAGGTTTTGATGTTGGTGTGCTGTGCCTTTTTTTTTTTTTTTTTTTTTTTTTTTTTTTTTTTTTTCTCCACACATAGTGTTGTGTGTTCTTCCCAAACAACTCAATCTTGGTTTCATCTGTCCACAGTATATTTTGCCAGTAGGGCTGTGGAACATCCAGGTGCTCTTTTGCAAACTTCAAACGTGCTGTAATATTCTTTTTGGACAGCAATGGCTTCCTCCGTGGTGTCCTCCCATGTACTCCATTCTTGTTTAATGTTTTCCTTATTGTGTGTCAACAAAAATGTTAGCATGTGCCAGAGATTTCTGTAGGTCTTTAGCTGACACTCTGGGATTCTTCTTTACCTCATGCAGCATTCTGCGCTGTGCTCTTGCAGTCATTTTTACAGGACGACCACACCTAGGGAGAGTAGCAACCGTGCTAAACTTTCTCCATTTGTAGACAGTCTGTCTTACCGTGGACACATGAACATCAAGGCTTTTGGAGATACTTTTGTAACCCTTTCCAGCTTCATGCAAGTCAACAATTCTTGATCGTAGGTCTTCTGAGAGCTCTTTTCTGCGAGGCATGGTTCACATCAGACAGTGCTTCTTGAAACCAGTAAACCCAAAACAGGTGTGTGTTTTTTAAGGGCAGGACAGCTGTCAGCAACACATCCAATGTCATCACACTGATTGGAGTCAAGGTTGGCTCACTCCTGGCTCCAATTAGCTCTGGGAGAAGTCATTCAGCTAGGGCCTCACAATACGTTTTTTTTTTTATTTTTTTTTTTTTTTTTTTTTTCTCCCTGCACTGTGAATGTTTACATGTTATGTGCAATTAAACCATGGCAACATCTAATGTCTGTGTAGTATTATGTTCAGCTGACTGTGTTCTTCTATTGTTGTGACTTAGATGACGTTTTAGAGCACATTTTATGCCCAATTCACGCAAAACTCCACGGAATCCCAAGGGGTTCACATACTTTTTCTTGCAACTGTGTGTGTGTGTGTGTGTGTGTGTGTGTGTGTGTGTGTGTGTGTATGTATATGTATGTGTGTGTATATACAGTCATGGCCGAAATTGTTGGCACCCTTGATATTTTTCCTGAAAATCAAGTATTTCACACAAAAAAGGTATTGCATTAACACATGTTTTGCTATACACATGTTTATTCCCTTTGTATGTATTGGAACAAATATAAAACAGAGGCAGAAAAGCAAATATGACATAATGTCACACAAAACCCAAAAAATGGGCTGGACAAAAGTATTGGCACCCTTAACTTAATATTTGGTTGCACACCCTTTGGAAAACATAACTGAAATCAGTCGCTTCCTATAACCATCAATAAGCTTCTGACACCTCTCACCCGGAATTTTGGACCACTCTTCCTTTGCAAACAGCTCCAGGTCTCTCTTATTGGAAGGACACCTTTTCCCAACAGCAATTTTAAGATCTCTCCACAGGTGTTCAATGGGATTTAGATCTGGGCTCATTGCTGGCCACTTCAGAACTCTCCAGCGCTTCTTTGCCATCCATTTCTGAGTGCTTTTTGACGTATGTTTGGGGTCATTGTCCTGCTGGAAGACCCAGGATCTTGGACGCAAACCCAGCTTTCTGACACTGGGCCCTACAGTGCGACCCAAAATCCTTTGGTAATCCTCAGATTTCATGATGCCTTGCACACAGTCAAGGCACCCAGTGCCAGAGGCAGCAAAACAACCCAAAACATCATTGAACCTCCACCATATTTTACCGTAGGTACTGTGTTTTGTTCTTTGTAGGCCTCATTCCGTTTTCGGTAAACAGTAGAATGATGTGCTTTACCGAAAAGCTCTATCTTGGTCTCATCTGTCCACAAGACGTTTTCCCAGAAGGCTTTTGGCTTACTCAAGTACATTTTGGCAAACTGTAGTCTTGCTTTTTTATGTCTCTGTGTCAGCAGTGGGGTCCTCCTGGGGTCTCCTGCCATAGCGTTTCATTTCATTTAAATGTCGACGGATAGTTCGCGCTGACACTGATGCTCCCTGAGCCTGCAGGACAGCTTGAATGTCTTTGGAACATGTTTGGGGCTGCTTATCCACCATCCGGACTATTCTGCGTTGCAATCTTTCATCAATTTTCCTCATCCGTCCACGACCAGGGAGATTAGCTACAGTGCCATGGGTTGCAAACTTCTTGATAATGTTGCGCACTGTGGACAAAGGCAAATCTAGTTCTCTGGAGATGGACTTGTAACCTTGAGATTGTTGATATTTTGCCACAATTTTGGTTCTCAGGTCCTCAGACAGTTCTCGTCTCCTCTTTCTGTTGTCCATGCTTAGTGTGGCACAGACAGACACACAATGCAAAGGTTAAGTGAACGTCTCTCCTTTTTATCTGCTTTCAGGTGTGATTTTTATATTGCCCACACACCTGTTACTTGCCCAGGTGAGTTTACAGGAGCATCACATGCTTGTAACATTCTTATTTATCCGCAGTTGTGAAAGGGTTGCCAATACTTTTGTCCAGCCCATTTTTGGAGGTTTGTGTGACATTATGTCGAATTTGCTTTCTTTCCTCCCTTTTTTTTGTTTTGTCCCAATACACACAAAGGGAATAAACATGTGTATAGCAAAACATGTGTTAATGCAATACGTTTCGTGAGAAATACATGATTTCCTGGAGAAATATCAAGGGTGCCAACAATTTCGGCCATGACTGTATATATATATATATATATATATATATATATATATATATATATATAAAAAAATGTGTGTGTATATACAGTGAAGGAAATAAGTATTGATCCCCTGCTGATTTTTAATGTTTGCCCACTCACAAACAAAATGATCAGTCTATAAATCGAATGGTAACACTGACAGACAGAATAGCAACACAAAATTCAAAAGAAATGCATGTCTAAGAAATTATGCACTGATTTGCATGTTCATGAGGGAAATAAGTATTTGATCCCCTTCACAAAACATGACTTAGTACTTGGTGGCAAATCCATTGTTAGCAATCAGAGGTCAGACGTTTCCTGTAGTTGGCCACCACGTTTGGCAACTCTAACTTTCAGCTCCTTCCACAGATTTTTAATAGGATTAAGGCCTGGAGACTGGCTAGGCCACTCCCAGACCTTATTGTGCTTCTTCTTGAGCCACTGCTTTGTTGTCTTGGCCGTGTGTTTTGGGTCATTCTCATGCTGGAACAACCATCCACGACCCATTTTCAATGCCCTGGCTGAGGGAAGAAGGTTCTCACTCAAGATTTGACAGTACATTGCCCCCGTCCATCGTCCCTTTGATGCGGTGCAGTTGTCCTGTCCTCGTAGCAGAAAGACACCCCCAAAGCAGAATGTTTCCACCACCATGTTTGACAGTTGAGATGGGGTTCATTCCTCCCTCTCCAAACACAGCGAGTTGAGTTGATGCCAATTTGTTCTCATCTGACCACAACACTTTCAACCAGTCCTCTGCATCATTCAGATGTTCAGTGGCAAACTTCAGATGGGCCTGGGCATGTGCTTTCTTGAGAAGAGTGACCTTGTGGGCACTGCAGGATTTCAATCCCTGTCGGCGTAATATGTTACCAATTTTTTCTTGGTGACTGTGGTCTCAGCTGCCTGCAGATCATTGACAAGATCCTCACGTGTAGTTCTGGGATGAGTCCTCACTATTCTCATGATCATTGACACTCCACGAGGTGAGATCTTGCATGGTGCACCAGACTTGGGGAGACTGACAGTTGTTTTGTGTTTCTTCCATTTGTGATTGCACCAACTGTTGTCACCTTCTCACCAAGCTGCTTGGCCATAGTTTTGTAGCCCAGTCCAGCCTTGTGTAGGTCTACAATCTTGTCCCTGACATCTTTGGACAGCTCTTTGGTCTTTGCCATGTTGAAGAGTTTGGAATCTGATTGTTTAATTGCTCCTGTGGACAGGTGTCTTTTATACAGGTAACAAAATGAGATTAGCAGCACTCCCTTTAAGAGACTGCTTCTAATCTCAGCTTGTTACCTTATGAAAGACACCTGGTAGCCAGAAATCCTGCTGAATGATAGGGGACCAAATACTTATTTCCCTCATGAACATGCAAATCAGTGCTTAATTAGTTAGACATGCATTTCTTTTGAATTTTGTGTTGCTATTCTGTCTCTCAGTGTTAGAATACACCTACCATTCGATTTTTAGACTGATCATTTTGTTTGTGAGTGGGCAAAAATTCAAAATCAGCAGGGGATCAAATACTTATTTCCTTCACTGTGTATGTATGTGTGTATGTATGTGTGTGCGCCCTACCCACACCGCTATTTGTGGCCGCGGCTGTCCCGGCCGGTAATTAACCGCCGGCGCCCGCTGATTACCGACAATCACCGATGCACAGAACAGCCATCCCGATCAGTGTGCTTAAAGTTTTTTGTGTGTGGTTTTTTTTTTTTTTTTTTTTTTTTAATAAGCACTGATCACTGTATTGGTGTCAGTGACACCAAACTAGT